TTGTATTTGTGATTATTAAAATATGGTGTTATATAATATTCTTTTCTTTATTCTTTTCTATTATTTGTTTCGGTTCTTTCATTTTAGTTATTATCTTTGTTGTTATTTCTTCTGTTATAATTATTTCATTTTCTCTTTTATATTCTATTTCATTTATTGTTTTATCACGTCTTTCATTATCTAATTTAATTGTTAATTGTTTCATATCATTTTGAATAGATTGTTCATTAAATATTCTTCTTATTTTTCATTTTCATTCAATTAATATATTCTTATCATTTTATTTTGATTCTGTGTTGTTTCTCTAGTAATTATTTCTTTATCAGTAAATGAAACAATGATAGTGTTGTTCTATTTCATTGTTCATTTAATATAATTTATACTCTTTCATTTTATCAATCACCTTTATTATTATTTATATTTATAATATCTATTTATTATTTTTCAATATTATCATATTTAATTATATTATTTCAATTAGATTTATTTTAAATTAAATAGAATTATATCAATTATGATAATATAATAATTTATATGAATAATTGTTATATTATTATTTAAATACAACTATGTAATTATTTTTAATTATGATAAAAATACATTTAATATTCTAAATTAAATATTATTATTATTTAATATTATTAATTTAATTATTTATTATCTTTTAATCTAAAATATAAATAATAAATAATAAATAAAAATATAATAAATAAATAATAAAAGAAGTATTTAATTTTAATTAATAAAATAAATGATTAATGATAATATTTATAAAATAATTATTAAATTATCATTTAATCAATAATAAATAATAATTTAATATATTTTTAATTTATTAAAACATAATTAAAACATAAATAAATAACAAATAATTCAAAACAAAACATAAATTATAAATAATTATTATTTAAATTAAAAAACAAAAACAAATAAATAATAAATAAATAACAAAAAATATAAAATAATTAAAAAATGAAAAGAAATAATTAAAAAATGATATTCATTAAATTAATAATAAAATCAAATAGTTAAACTATTATAAAATATAGAATTTGTTTATAATCTTATTTTGTGTTCAATTTCATTTTATGTATTTCTTTAATCAAACTACTTATAAAAGTGTTTTTAATCCAAATAATCAATTAGTGTATTTTCAATTTCTTGACTATCTCTCTTACTTCTTTTCATCCCCGCACGTCTTTAAAACATTTTTCTGGTATTCTTTTATTTTGCTTTAACTCTTCTATACATCCACAATTGTAGAAACAATAACTTCCAAATGATGTAATTGTTGATGGAATATTAATAGATGTTAATGATTTACAGTTATAAAAACATCCATTTTCTATTTTACTAACAGATGATGGTATGTCAATAGATTTTAATGATGTACATTCTCTAAAACACTCACCTTCTATTTTACTAACTGATGTTGGAATATTAATAGATTTTAATGATGCACAACCAAAAAAACATTCATCTCCTATTTCACTAACTAATGTTGGTATGTCAATTGATGTTAATGAGCAACAGGAATAAAAACATAATTTTCCTATTTTACTAACAGAAGATGGTATATTAATTGATGTTAGTGATGCACATCCATCGAAACAATAATTTCCTATTTCATTGACTGATGATGGGATAGTAATTGATGTTAATGATGCACATCCATCAAAACAAATGTTTCCTAATTTAGTAATTGTTATTGGTATGTTAATTGATTTTAATGATGCACATCCACAAAAACATCTATCTCCTATTTCACTAATCCTTGTTGGTATATCAATCGTTTTTAATCCACTGGCAAAATAAAAGCATTCAGATTCAAGTGATTTAACTTCTGGTGGTATTGTATTTCCATATTTCTTTCTATCTTGTTTTGTATATTCTATATTTTTACAGATATTCCCTTTTTCTTTCTCTTCTATGTGTATTGAATAACTCACTGTATACCACAGCTCTCGTTTGATTATTCTTCCATCTTTAAATACTCTATCCATTAAATCATATAAATTAAATGTTTCAATATTAGGAAAGAACTTTCTTGAATAATCACTTAAAGGAATTGGATTAAAATGAAATCGTTCCATATTTCCTTGAAATCTTTTAACACCTAATTCTAAATTAATGAAATCATTAATATCATTAAAATACATTGACACTATCATTATTTCATTATATCCTAATCTTCTTTCTTTATTGTTATTTCTTATTGTATTTTCCATTCTTCTTTTATTTGAACTTAAATTATTTTTAAGATTTTCATTTATTTTTTATTATATTTTATTAATAAAATATCCATTAAATATAAAATATCTTTTTCTTCTATTTATAGTTAAAAATAAAATATAGTTTAAATATATGGTATTTAATAATAATAATATAGTTTAATAAAATAAATAAAAAATAGTAAATTATAATAAATTAATAATAAAAAGATGAAATTAAAATGAAATAATATAAATAATCATAATAAATTATAATGAAAATAAATATGAAATAGTTTTAAATCTAATAATATTTAAATTATTTATATTTTTTATTTATTATTATTTTTATATTCATTATTTCATCTTCTTATCTTTCTTTATTTTCATTTTCATCATTA